TTGTACCACAAAGCGAGTCCTAGCCGCCCAGCTTTAGCATACGATTGCAGTTAGGAAGCTCTGGTTGTGATCTGCTGGGAAGAAGAAGAGAGAGTGGTTAAGGGAGAGAGAGTTACAGACCCCTGACAGTCAAGGAACCAGGAGACTATGGTATCTGTTGTTCTTCCTTCTCACCTAAACAACCACTGTTGTTAGGGCCAGTGTAAGAGGCAGTGAACAAGTTGGTTGGAAGGATTAAGAGGGAGTGTGGGCTCTTGACAGTCTACCCTTGATGCTGGCCCCAGTGATGGAACCATTGTTCTGATTCTCTCATGCCTCCAGAGCAACTTAAGCATCCAGCTTTGGATGAAGCAGTTTGGAACTGAGCTTGTGGCTCCACACTTTTCATACAATGTATATCCAGATACATTGAGGCATTTAGTCACTGTTCTAGCTAGTCCGGTTATACCACTTCTTCCTGCCATGGCACACAAAAGTCTCCTTTGGGTACACAAACCTAGGGCTGTTAACTGAGATATGCAGTGACACAAGCCTTTGCACACATTCTGGATGGGCAAGACACATTTGTGCAGGGGGAAAGGGGAAAGAAAGAGAGTAGGTCTGATCTTACCCTTGTTGCAAAGACTTTTTACCCCCAGCATGATTGGAAATACTGGAAAAGAACCAGCTTTGGGAAGTCTTGAAGACAGATACCTTTCAGACAAATAAATAACTGAAGGCCAACCCAGGAAGGGTCTTGCTGCACAGAGAAGTAAATTCATCTAGTTTCCATTAATTGGCATGGAGATTTCTTATGCAAACAGCTGGCACCTCCTGAATGCCAAACATCCTGCCAAGACACCTGAGCAAAGCCCAGGGAGCAAACCAAAAGCCTGAGAGCAACTCAAGCAAAGGGAAGACAAGGGGAGAAAAAAGGCTGTCAACAAACAAGCCATCACCTTCAGGATCTGGGGACACTGACTTTCTGCTTGCCAAACTGGGCCATGCTCTGCAGTGGACGGGACTGACGGAACTCCATGTTTCAGCTTAACAGCAGTCACTTCAAGCACTGCATGGATATAATCTGTCCTTTGATGCAGAGAATATCTGTAATAACCTGCTTACCCTTATCATGTGCCTGGTGAGCATCAAGGATACACATGGCTGGGCACCTGCTAAGAGTTGCTCCTCCTCATCACCACTGCAATCTATTTTTCACCAGCATCTTCATTTGCCCAGGCCAAGAGTGCTGCTAACCAGGAGCAGCAGCAGAAGTGGTCACTGCCCACCGCTCCCTGGCATGTTCTCTCTTTTTGCCAAGCAAGCAAGCAGCCTTGATGAGAAAGGGGGTGAGGCATAAGTGCAGCTGGAGACCACAGTGGTGAAAAGTAGACTTGCTGGGGGAGGAAGGTCACTGGTGGGTCCTCAAACACCTGGAACTAGGAATGATCTTCTGCACAGTCACTGAAATGAGCAGAACAAGGTTTACTCCTATGCGCAGTGGACTGTGGCCATAAACTGCAGAATTCTCAGCAAAAGGTCATTAAAAATTGGGTAATGACTAGAAAGCAATTCCTCAATTAAAACAATTGCCCATAAAAATATAGAATAAATGACATGGGACAGGGAGGGACAGAAAAAATAATATCTGTCTAATTTGTTTAAAGCTGTTTAATATTAGTTGAAATTAAGAACAGTGCCTGTGCTGTCATTCAGCTGGAATACTGGAGCACACTGGCTTCTAACAGAGCTTTTGCCTATATATTTCTTATCCCTTTTCTTATCCCTTATCTATACTTGAGAGTCATCTTCTTTTTTAAGCTGCAACTTTAGGGAGGAAGACTGGAATATCTCCACTCTATGGCTCCGGCCCATATCCCTCTTTCATTTATTATGTGCAGGTTGGATCCTGCACTGTTGTCACTGGCAATATTCTGAAAAGTTCAAATGTGATTGGGCGCGGCACACTATGCTTGTGGCAAAAGGCCCTGGGGGATCTGGTTTATTTCAGAACACAAGCATGGCAGATAATAGGAATATTGATGCTGAGGTCACATTACAGGAGCCCAGTAGAATAAAGGTCTAAAAGTGGCCAGTGTGTGAGGGCTGGTATGGAAAGAATCAATAGGTTGCCTTTTAAAGGGTTTTTGGTTCTAAAAATACACCTTGGTGAAGTGTGAGGAAGACGTCAGTTGTTCAGACAATAACAAGCTAGGATAAAAAAAAACTAAGGTAATATAAAAAAGTCCATGAAGAATTTCCACCCCCTCCCCTCACCCCGGTAAAAGAAACTAGACAAGTCTCTATTCTTTATATCGCCTGCAGAATTCTTGTCACAGAACTGGTGTTTTTCCATTTGACAGAGCTCTGATCTCCTCTCCACTCAGCACATACAGACCTGGGTGTAACATACAACTAGGCTTAGATCCAAAGAGCCCAGAGGACAATCCTTGGCAGGCAGCTTAAAAAAAAAAAGTGTGTGGGGGGGTGGGAGACAAATGATTTCCAATCATCTTTTCTCTCCCCTGCAGCCTACTGAAAACATGCCCCAGACCCTCTGAAATAGCACGGGAGGCAGCCTTGGCAAAACATGCAGACAGTGGGGAAAGAAGGCCCAGCTTAGGAAAGTGCCCCAGGCTGGCCATCCACTTCGGTACTGTCAATGCTGATTGGTGGGTAGGACTGAAGGCAGATGGGGGCTGAGCCAAACATACTTAAAATACCAGCGACGTCTTGCTTAAAGCTGTTATTGCCAGTAACCAAGCTTAGGGGAGGCATTTTGATCTTTCAGAATGGGGGGGAAAGCCAGAAATGCACAAACCAATCGGTTGTAGGAGAAAGGGGCCTGGTCTTCTGGGAAACTCTGTAGTGCAGGTTACAACCCCAGATAGGCCAGATTTGGCCCCTGGGTCTGCAGACCTGCAGTTCTGACATTTTTTAATTGGAGATGCCCGGGTATTTTGGCACTGAACAATGGCCTCTGTGTAGTAATTGAACTGTTCCCAAACCAGCCCAGTGGCCAGATGGTTGACAAAAATTCCAGGTGCTTAAAAAAAGTCTAAAGTATTTCTAGATCAGGGTACAGTGAAAGGAGTTTGGTTTCTGCATTGCTATTGAGAAATTCGTATTCTGTTTCCTCACCACATTCAACACCACTTTTGGTGTTGCAATATTACAAAAAGAAGGAGTGGGATCTGCAACCAAGTGTTGCAGCGTGGAGTGCTCTCTGTGCAAGATTTCAGATACCCTATTCCCTCCCTTCCCAGTTTTCTGTCCCCCTCCCCATAAAGAGCCAGCATCCCATGGCCACTCAGCACACTGAGTCCTCATTGAGGGGATTTCCACCCTTCTAAGGATTTTTTTCCTAGCTCCCCCCACACCCGCCCAATCTGCTGGCTGCAGGTATTTATGGCAAACTTGGGATTCCCCCAAGCCGACCAACACAAGTGGCTTTTTGCTTGCCTTGTGAGACTTCCCCCATCTCTCCTCCTTCCTACAGCCCCTTGCACACCCCAGATCTGCAGTTGAGGGCTCCCCAAGCCCCTGGAGCATATTTGGAGAGTGCATGTTGGAGAAGAATCACTCTTCTTGCTTTGGAAGCCATTTTGATAAAAGGCTAATTGGACATGACCCATAGTATTAATTCCTGCCCTTTCATGAGACCTTAAACTGTTGGTTCCAGGAACCACAGCCAAGGTTGCTACAGAGCTCTCTCAACCATGCATTTCACTCAAGTGGCTGTACACTGCAGCAAGCCAGTTGGTTTCTCTTTGCCTCCTTGTTATGAAACATGGGGTTACATCCAACGTTAGTCTGCCTAAAGTCCCATTCATTTTTACAGATTCACTGTAAGCAGAATATACACTGGATACACCCCTTTAAGTAAGAAATCATCTCTGCTTAACCTATAATAAAGAATGTTGGCTGTCACTGGGTAGCATAAAACAGAAGAGATTAAAAGCCAGGTCAGAAAAGAACCAAGGCAACAGACAAACAGGTTTGGGGATAAACTGTAGCAAGCGTATGCATTTTTGTCCAACATGTCATTGAGCAGGGAGATAATCCACGCCTATGGATGCACCCAGTATTTAGATGAAGGGATGGTGTGCCACAAAGGATAAGCCAGCACTAAAATAAAGTTGCCATCTTTTTTTGGATCCTGTGCATCTATTTACTATTACAATTACATTGCATTTTTAGCCCTTTCCCTTTTTTTTTTTTTTCTCTTGGAGGTACCCAAGGTAATATGCATAGCTCCATTTTATCCTCACAGCAACCCTGGGAGATACTGGCCCAAAGTCACTCTGTGAGTTTTGTGGCTGAGTGGGGACTAGAACCCGGATCTCCCAACTCCCCAAGCCAGCACTCTCATCACTAGACCACATTGGCTCTCAATAGCAGCTTGATTCACAGAATTCAGGAGGTGAAGTTTCCCTCTCTGTGGAGATAAGCAGTGGGAAAGTGTTGTTGCTTATGTTTGTGCATCAAGCTCTTCTTAAAGGCAAAGGAACAAGATACACAACATCCCCAAATGAGCAAACTCCGTGCCTGCCCATCTCATACAGAAATTGGATGCTTTATTATTTTGCTTTAAACTGCAAGCCACATCGGGGACTAGAAACCAGAACAATGAGATATATATTAGAAAATAAATACAAATGCAACAGTCTGCATGGAAAACTATTTTATGGTCGGTTTCTGAAGAACTAATATCTTGCCAACTCACAGCATTCAACTCCTAGCTTCCCTGCCCCATTATGATTCAAGTCTCATTTGCTAAAACGTTGTTCAGTGCAAATTCCTGCAAAGAGTCCGTAAACATGCCCAGCAATGCAAAATCCTCAACAAATGAAAATGGGGGAAAATGCTAGAGTGGGCAGATATTGAAACTGAACACAAAGGGCTTGTTGTTGCAGGCAAAGCAAGCCATTCCAGGCTTGGCAAGAATCCCCCCCACCCGATCTTTCCTTAGGAGTCAGCTTGTCTATTGGACTGTCAAGGACATGCAGGCTTGTACTCACATCCAGACCTGGGTAGGTGTTTTTTCAACCCAGGTTCCCTGTTGGAACTTCAACTGGAGCAGTGAGACTTGAAGGTATTTCTCCATTGACCAGGCAAAGGCAGAAGGACAGGCTTCCAAAGGTTCACACCTGGCCCAAAGCCTTCCTACCACTTGTCCTTGGTGGAATTCAGTGCAGCATAATCTTAAGCCCACCTCCTGCATCAGAAGAACAATTTAAGGCTAGAGCACAACCACACAACTACTCAGATGGACATATGCGAAATCAGTGTGCCATTGACTCTCTCTTCCAGTGTTGGTGTGCATGATGGAAATGGTAATTTAAATATGTCAGGTTTTAGTAGCTGCAGTACAGCAGAACTGTCCTTTACATGAGGATTTTGTTCTAGTGTGGATCTTAATAGCTGACGACTTTGTGCTAACAACAACAATGCTGCAGAAATGACTGTAAAACATGAGCGAGGCCTTAGAGAAAAATGATGTGGTGAAAAAGGCCACACAATTCTGTGAATGCTCAAGGAATGCCTTGTGGAGAGAAGTCCTTTGTGTATTTGAATGTTCGGATGTGAACAAATGCATTCTGTTTTAAGTGCATCTTCGTCCTATAGGTGTTCCTCACAGGTATGGGGCTGAATCCCTCCACCCTGTACTTTGAACTCCTCCCTCTCCTATGCAAGTCTTTTTTCCATCATTAGCAACAAACAACACGTCTCCCTTACCTAATTTCTTCTCCTCATCCCACTTTGATCATAGACATCTGCTGCATGGGCCTTTCCTTGAGGGCCAACCTCCTCTCCCGTGTCTCTGGTGACACTGTCATGGTTGGGAAAACATTTTGTCAGATGCAGCGCTTATTTTTTAATCATTGTGTGCCCTGGTGAAACTGACAAGGATTTCTCCATGACACCAGTTTCACCAAAAGAGGTGGAAGACAGTGAAGGAAGCAGTGGTGGAGCATTTCCTGCAGCAATCAGCGGAGCTTGGTGCCATTCAAAACAGGGAAAGCATCACTTGCGCATTACTAGAATTCACATTAAAGGAACTAGGAAGATTCCCAAGCGATAACTGAAAGCACATTTTGGCCCACGTCCAAGACTCAGGGCCAAACTATGTGTCACAGTATTAACATTAACAGTTTTTAGCACCCCCACACTCTTTTTCCTAAACTGGCCAATAAAAAGGAAAAAAAAAAAAAAGAGAGAGAGAAATGGCAGGTGTGGGGTCTCCAGTCTAGAACATGCCCCCAGTCCAGATCTGGGCCCCACGTGAGTTTCCTGCTGAAAAATCACTTCTACCCAGAAGGTGCTGTTGGAAAGCCCCTTGGCCGGAGGGGGGCAAGCCGCCACTGAGGCCTCTGCAAAGACATGCATGTCAGATTTCTGGTGAGAAGCTGCTGCAGGGCCCCATTCCAGGCAGGGAGCCATTTCCGTATCAGTGCCCCATGGCTGCTTTTTGCGCCATGTAAAAATGGGGCTGTAGGAACAATGGCCATGCAGATGGTCCTCCAACACCAGTTCCCCTCTTCAGATCTGATAGCCCTTAAAACCATTGAGTTTTGCAGGAAGTACTTTCTGTGAGGTACAGATTATTTTAGGGAGAAGTAGCCATCTTCTACCTGAACTTGCTTCCCTCTTCCAATGCACTCACAGCAACTTTTATTTGCTGATACAACCAATGGCATTGCTGCAGACAGCAGTGCTGGTAAGTGCTTAAAAGATTCAGGGCACAGAAACATACCTTTATTTGTGCAAACATATGTCCTTCCATACATGGAGATGCAGAATTACTAGAACTCATTTCAGTTTCACTACTGTTAGCAGACTTCTCTCAGTGAAAAGAGAGTGCCTCTGAGCACAAGCAGATTGCTGTTCTCTCGCCAATCTATTCTCATTTTTCTATCCTTCAGCAGTGCTGCATTGAACAGGTTCTCTCCTTTACTGCCTCCTTGTCACAGGTGAGCTCTCAGTGTCTCTCCCCCACCCATAACTTAAATCGTGCCAAGCCTTTACTACAGTTTAGTCAAAGAGTCTGTTTACAATGCTAGGACTAAGTTATGGAGAAAGTAACTCTGGGCAAGTGCCTCTCCCTCCCTACTGAAGCCAGAATCCATGTGAAACAGCAAAACACAAAAGACAAAGCATGTTCAGGTTTGAGCTGAAAGGTAGCCATTTCAGTGGCGTGGACGGGGTGAGGAGTGCATTAAACCTGCAGTGACATGCTCACATATCAGGGCTCATTTCTGAGTAAACATGCAGAAGATCAGATTGCAAAAAGTAACTTGGAATCAGCCTCAGTGCACATGAGCTACAGTTCTGAGTAGATTTGACCAGGATGGGATAAGCAAGCAGCATTGATCTCTCTCCCCACTTCACCCCACACCAATTAACTCCTGCTTTTATTGAAGCTTGTCCTGCCTTTGCTGGGTAATGGCAACTGACCTGCAAAATAGCCCCGGGTTCCTTCTGCAACCACAAGAAGCTAGTTTCCTCCAAAGAGTTAAATGAGAAAACCAAACTCTTGCGTAGGCTTGCAGAATGTCAAATACTCTTCAGAATGTCTCCTATGCATCATCCATCCTCCCCTCCTAAGAATTCCAAGATTTACTCTGGAGGGAATAAAAAAGAGAAAGAAAAACTGGGATAGGGGAGGGACGAAAATGATGACTGGAGACAGAGGGATGGAAAACCAACTCCTTTCAGAGGGGTAGCACTTCAGAGGACCTGGAGGGCAGCAGAGGGTATGTGGGGTATTCTACATACCTCAGGGTGCAATCCTACGCATGTTTAGATAGAAGAAAGGCCTACATCTCCTGGCACACCCCAGCTCCATTTTTTCTGTCTAAGCATGTACAGGGCTCCACCTTTAACTTGGTTAAGTGAGGTGGTAGAGGCCTTTTCTTGCTTTTTTAAGCAGTAAGAATTGTTTAAAAGCCCCTGGACTGGGTCTCTAGCTCCGTGGTAGAATACAGGATTTGCAGCCAGGACATGTCGGACTTGATCCCTGGCATTTCCGTGTAGGAAAAGTGAAACCCCTGCGGAGCTGCTGCCAGTCAGTGCTAACAACCCCAGTGGTCTGGCCTAGGATAAGGCACCTTCTGCACTCCTATGGCAGTGCCAGGAGGCACTCTGCATGCAGCCTGCGCAGCATTTCCTGGAACTTGAACCACATGGTCTGAACCCTCCTGTTGGTGTCATCTACTGCCTCCACTTGTTGGAGAGAAATTAAAGGCGCGGAGGGAAACAAATAAGTCTTACTGAATCCTGTGCTGAAGCCATTATTCTACAGGGAGTCCTTCCTGGCCTTCTCCATCCCTCTTCAAATGTGGATTGCCAGCAAACTCCCAGCACTGGGCATGGAAGAGCAGAAAATCAGAAGGGGAGAGAGAAAGAGGAAGGGGGCAAGTGAGCCAATGGGCAACGGACAGAAGGAAAGGTGGCAGTTTAAAAGGCTTCTGCCTTCATACTGCCACCACATGGGTCTGCCAAGGGTGTGAGTCCTGCGGTCTCCTAGTCACTGTAAGGGTGCTGAGCCCAAGCAAAAAGGCAGGCTTGCATCAAGGCAGATGACATCCACTGGGGCGCCACAAAAGATCTCAGGCATATGCCCTGCTGAGCATTTACTAACACTTTCCCATCACTGTAGGTTTCAGCACAAGTTCTAATCACCGCCGGAAGTTCTAGCCACAGCCTCCCAGTGGACCAATCCCATAGGATTTCACAGCTTGAAGTAACTACATCTGATCTCCTTAGGAGAAAGAGTTGGCCAGAGTATACAGTTTACCTTTCAATTGCTTCGTTCTTCTCTCGCTCAGCTGTTTGCAGAGAAATATGTGAGAGAGCTGCTGGCAATCTGAAAGGGGGGAGGTAGGGAGAAATCAGAGCAAATGGGAGGAAATTACATCAGGAATAATTACAGAATGCATTAGGACGATCAGATTTGATACAAGGCAGGGTACCCACTCCTTTCATAATTGTAAAAGAAGAGGAAATTCAGTCAGTGAGGATCCTGGGGAAGCAGGTGCATCGTTTTTACTGGCATTGCACCAGTGCCTGTAACAGTGGCCTGACACTCAAGGCATCCCTCACTTATTAGTAACATTTAGGGCTCTCAATTGATCACCTGCTTATGCAACCCACTGGATTTAATACATCTGCATATGGCCAAACCTGTAATATTGATGCCTTTTTCAGATCTGAGAAAATTTGCAAATAGCTGGTAGTCAATGTTAGAAAGAAAGATTGGTCATGGTTTTTATCCCCTCTTTTAGCATCACACGAGAATAAAAATAGCTTGAAAAATCTGCATGCATGTACTAACTCATAGCCCCAGTTCTGAAAATTGGCCTCTCCTGATTAATCAAGCAAAGCTTTTCTTATTTAGTAGATAACAAATTGTAGACTGTAGACTGTAACTTAATAATGGGGCAGTGGAAATATTGAAAATAGGTTTATCCAAGATCTGATCTACTGAAAGTATTGTATCATATACAGGAACTTACATTGTCTCTGAAAATGCAAGCAAACCCAAAGGGAAGCCACAAAAACCCATTTAGCCACCTTAACATCAGTTCCCAAGATCTTGGCACTTTTTTGCCTACATCACCTCAACGCAATTCTGGAAACTAAAAATAAAAAAAGCTTTTTGTCTTGCTATGCAGATAAAAACAAGCAACAACAGAACTTCGATCAATACCTTTGGAAATAAAACCATACTTGTTCATTATCAATCTGCCAAAACAAACAATGTGGCTGAAGTAAGCAAAATAGAAGTATACTTTGCAAAATGGTGGGACATGAAAAGGTTCATAGGTTCCAGTGGCCAATATGGCTCAGATCATCAAGAGCTACCCCTTAGATCACCTTGCCTGGACAGAGCAAATAAGGAAGGCTTTTTCAGTTTTCCTCCAGTTTGGAAGCTATGTTCAACTAATGGATTATATAAATATGATATAATGGGCAGTATTTTATAGATGGCCTGGGAAACCATGCAAGTTCTTGCTCAGCCATGGAAATCACCTATCGACTTTTATTCTAATCAGTGTCTAGAGATGGACTTGCCACTCAGCACGTAGGAATCTACATTGAAATACTGAACCCAAGCTCTGACACAGACAGACTGGCAGCAGTGTTTCAAGTAGGAATTGTTCCTAGCCCTACTTGGACATGCTGGGGAACCAACCTGGGACATCCACATACAGGTCTAGGGCTTGAATACTGTGTTATGTTGCTGAACATGTGGGGAAGACCTGTTTAAGAAGAGAAAGGTTTTGTTTCACATATCATATCAGTAGCTCTAACTGCATTCTACCATTCTTCAAAGGTTGTACCCTCACTATTTAGTCTGTACACTTTGCTGAGGATTCTGGGAAAGTGTTATAGGATGTATACTCAGTTCTCAGGTGCTGGCCAAACCTATTCACCTCACTCTTGACCAATGAACTGATCACATTCCTTAAGGACACACTCAACCCCTTGTAACTTCATCTTGCAGGGAATGGGAGTAATGAGCAAAATGCTTTCTCCACTGGCATATCTGCCTTCACTGACCTTCACAGAATCATAGAATAGTAGAGTTGGAAGGGGCCAAGAAGGCCATCAGGTCCAGCCCACTGCTGTTGCAAGACACCAGTTTACACCACCCCACCCAGATGACTGTCCAGTTTCTTTTTGAATGTCTCTAGTCTGAGAGAGCCCAGCACCTTTCTAGGCAACTAGTTCTACTGTTGTATTGCTCTGGCAGTGAGGAAACTTTGCCTGATATCTAGCCTGAACCTGGTTTGTTGCAACTTGAGTTGATTATTCCATGTCCTACACTCTGGTATCAGCAAGATGAGATCTTATTCTTCTTTGTGACAGCCTTTCAGGTACTTATAAAGTGATTCCATTTACTCTTTCAGTCTTCTCTTCTAAAGGCCTGTTCTCTCAGTCTCTCTTCAAAGGGCAATGTTTCCAGATCCTGGATCATTTTTGTTGCCCTACTCTGGACCCTTTCTAATTTTTCTGTATCTTGCACCCAGAACTGGACACAGTACTCCAGATGAGTTTCAACTCTTGAAAAGTATAGGGGAACTATTACTTCTTGTGATTTGGAGGCAATACTTCTATTAATGCATCCCAAAATAGCATTTGCCCTTTTTGTGGCCACATCGTGTTGCTGGCTCATATTTAGCTTGTTGTCCACAATAACTC